CCCCGGGGACAGGGTCATGCTCTAATGATTTTTGGGGGCAGAGGGACGGCAGGGCCTCCCCGGCAGGCGGCTGTTCTGGTGACACATTAACCTGCAGTAGCTGGAGAGGTGACAGCACCGCACAAACCCCTTTCCTCTGGCCACAGCCCCTCCCACCCAACCCCGGGGTGGGGGGGGGTGCTGGTTCCACTGAAGCTCCAGTCCCCGCTGTTTGTGAAGAGGGCATTGACCAGAGAGGGTCATCGATCTGCCTAGAGTGGCACAGCGTGGCGACCAGCTTTCCTGGAGCCTCCAGGGACCCCCCAGAGGGTCACCCCCAAACTCCTGAGGCCACACCTCATGGGCTATGCTGTGCAACATGTGTCCCAGACCCTGAGCGGGTAAAATCTTTCCATTCTTACTCAAATCTGCACCTCTCTCTGTCTCTCCTCTCTGTCTCTTCCTATCTGTCTCTTTTTGTCTCTGTGTGTCTCTCCCTTTCTTTCTCTCTTTCTCTTTCTTTGGCTTTTCATGTTTCCATCTCTCTGTCCCTCTTACAAACACAGGAACAATTAAACCTAACACCCCACCCTCCCTGAGCCTACCTCCCCCTTCACACACACATACACTTGGTCACACTCCATGTTGGGAACAACCCCACGCTCTCCCCCGTCACTCTGCCTGCCACCCCCTGGCTCTGTCCTCAGGGTGGTATATGGGTGTGTCCTGTCTGAGCCTGGCACTCAGACAGTTAAGGGGTTCCGCCGGGATGGGGGGGGACCCTGAGCCGCCCACTTGGGCAGGTCCAGTCCTCCCTTCCTCCGCTCCCGGGGAGGTCACGGGACTCAGGCAGGACTCAGCGGTGGCAGTGAGTGCCAGGCCTGCCCGGGGCCTAGCAGGGCCTTGTGTGAGTTTGGGGAGTTCTCAGCCAGTGGACTTGGGTCCCTGAATCCATCAGAGCTGGGCTGGGAGCTGAATGGTCCCCCATGGGGCCCGGGGCCAGGGGACTTCTTCCCGAAGGTCCTTATGCTCCAAGGCTGCTGACCCTGGCACGGAGGGAGCAGGAGGCTTGGGGAGTGTGCGTAGGCATCGGGGCCTGCTGTCCCTGGATAGGGGCCCCCGCAGAGTTCTGGGGGGGGGGTGTCCCACACTGGTGCCTGTGGTGTGGCCCGGGCTACCTTGATTGAGTGTCTGCGGGCTCTGAGAGAGGATACAGGGTGTGGGATGAGCCCCGTGTCTGGGGGGAGTCTCACAGGGGTA